AATTTACAAATGACCATATTTGTATACCGGAAAGATCGCAGAATTGACTGTGTCTTCTTTGATGTTGTAACTATATTTTTATGATAATGACATCCACATTGCAGGTTTGTGGTCATGATATTCACTAAATAAAACAATGTTAAACATGGTATGACCTTTACAGAGAGTAAACAGTTGGAAAGTGAAAGATTACAATGGATGAAATATAGTATATAAGAGATATAACTTGGACTGAATCTATGAATGATAAATCATATTTTGCATGGTTACCTTTGTCCCATTTGAGTAGAGAAGCAAATGTTGAATAAAGAATTTAAAAAGGAGAGTCAACTTGAATACTCAGCAGCAACAGACAATGTCAAGGGGTTTTCAATTGTTTGTGTGAGATTGAATCATACACAGACTGAAAGCCCCTGACTCCAGTCATAGATATTGGCATATAGAAAAAGATGAATCCTCTGCTTTCCTCCCAAGCTTCCTCATCACATAGAGATGTTGTCTGGTATTTCAGATGTCAAGGTGTTCACAGGAAATTAGATAATGTGCTTTACTTTATCTGACATCCACTGTTATGGACAGTTTCATCAGAGGCCTTCAAATTCCCCCTGTTTTACTGCTGTCTGGAAGATAAATAAACAAACAAACCAATTAAAAAAAGGCTCAAACCCCAACAATGAAAGTTTCCATCACACATCATAGTCTGTATCTTCTTGCCCCTGTGTATCATTTGTGATATTCCAAGATGACTTTCATGAGTGCACCATTGCTTTAATGTAAAACTCTTGGGTTTGTGAAGGAAAACAGGGTAAATATTGACTAAACTAAAGATAGCAATTCAGCAGAGGTCTCCAAATCTACCGCTATAGTGTTGTCTGGGATAAATAAATGAAGAAACTCAAAAAGGTCCAAGAAGTTTGTTTATTTGAAATGTATTTATACTAGCTGACAACAGTCATGCTGAAATGTAGTTTTCTTGTCTTCATTATGGAAGATCACTAAATGATTTTGTGACCTAACAGAACAAATAATTTGCATTTAAAATCTTACTGCTATACTGATATATGAATAATTTTAATGAAGAATCAGAAGGCATTTAAAATGTTAAGGTAATACCAAAAGTAAGGCTTTTGGTATTACCTTGAAGGATTGGTTCACATTTCTTCTAGCCTCATGTTATCTTCAGATAAACTTTTTTGAATACATTTTGCTCCAAATGAGGAGTGTGGATATTTCCCCCATCGCTGATGCTGGAAGCAGGTTAATACGGGAAGTCTTAGTGTTCATTAGGAACAGGAGGAATGACTACAACAAGAAAAACAGTTTCAATGTAGATATGGCCATCTGACTATTGTTGCATTGGTTACTGACTGAAACATGAGACAATGAAGTATAGCTTCTGCAGAAACACATCAAATGACCCTAGTTCAAGAGCAATAGATTAAAAAAACTGCTTGGAGTTCCACTCCATCAAATAACAAGGAGAATGGAAAGATGAAGGATTGTCAATACCTCCAATACGTCGTCTGTCAAAGGGGAGAAACAGAGCATCCATGGCAACAGCCTATTTTGAAAAAGTAAACTTCCTATTGCAAAACCAAGAAGCCAAACAGGGTGATGTTGAACAGTCTGAGCCTCTTTTACAAACATGTGACAGACAGAGAGAAGGACTTTTCACAGGAACAGCATCTTCTGTTTTCACTTAGGATGTTTACAAGAAGCTACAGTTGTGTTGCAGCTTATTTTGAGAATTGAAATCAGACCAATACTGTGACAGCTTGACTTTGGTCTGTCTTATGTAAATACAATCTGTCATCTTTGAGTTGTGAGACAGCCTGTCATTAGTTATGACTGATAAGAGCATGAATCATAGACACAGATTCAGTCAATATCTCTGCTGAAAAATACAGATGGAGTTACCTTATAATTGAGCCTATTGTTGGTGATAATTTACATGGTCAAGAGGAGTCAAAAATGTTTTTTTAAAACTATTGAAATAAACTTCAATAAGGCTGGAAGAACATCAATCAGCCAGCCTGATATAACTAACAGAAAATACTGTATATCATAAAACACAAAAAGCTCAACAACAATGCTGATAATGTGTCATGCAAGCCGCATCACCTTTGTGGAGGTAAGCTGACATGACGCATTAACTTTTACCAGGTCAAATGTCAGCCACAACACACCTGGGGCTAGTTGAACATTTCATGGTTTGTCATGTTTTGTATTTGCATTTTCTGCGATTTTAGTTGGGGGGCAATGATTCACACAGAAAGAAAACTCTGTACTCACTTGTCACTAGTCTCATCTCTTCATCCTCTCTCACACATGGTCACAATGTCTTCCCCCTGGTGGCCAATAGGCGGAACAGCAGTTTTTATCTAAGCACCTTTCCTTTTTCTTTTGTTCCAGTTCACTTATTTCCAATACTTCTTGCAGGAGTTTTTATTGTTCTGAGGGAGGGACTATGCTTATGAATAATGAACGCTATTTTAATTAGATCTTTCATAATGTGGGTACTGTGAAGCCCTTTGAACTGTCATTAAGGGCTACAGCATGAACACCCAGCTTCACCTAATAATAATATTCTAGCTGCCTGACTAAATCTTGATATAATTCACAATCTGACTTGGGATTGGATAAACTTTGGCCTTCAAAGTGGGTAAACAATTTAAACTCAAATAAGTTTCATAATAAATAACCCTTTCGCTCGTTTATGTTATTAAATTATAAGGCAACAGAATCAATTTAAATATGATCATTTAATAAGCATGTTTCTGCATGAAGTTGATCATCTATCTCCCCGCTACGTTCACCTCAGCAAGTGGGTGTATACTACAATGAGTTTATGGACGTAGATGATATTGCTAAATTCCACCAAACTTGTGACAAGAGTAATAATCAGCTTTTGTTCAGATAAATGTCTGGAATGTCCCAGCTTAAACTAATATGGAAACGTCCAGAGTGTTTTCACGGAGTCCTCCTGACCTCTCTATTTATTCTAATCTAGAATAATCTTTAAAGGGATTATTGGTGTGGATTTGCGTGTGTAAAGGTACATTTTGAGTTTGGGAGCAGTTATAGACACGGAAGAAGTGAAAATGATCACCCTCACTGGGATGAATACTGATTGTGCATTAAGAGTGGCTAAGTAAAGATCCAGCTCTAGTGTGATGGATCCTCACAGTTCCTGTAGCAGGACGTGACTGCAATAAAGATCTGCAGCTGAGCTCTGATACGGACTCATCCACAACAGAGTCAGTCAAATGGCACATGCACTATTAAACTGAGCACGGATTAAACTCCTGATTTCTTCTGGAATATACAAAACGTTAACAGTCGTGTGCCAGTCCCTTCAAAAATGTTTTATGTTCATTTTTCCTCACCCCACATAAATCTACCACTCTGGCCCTAAACAGCTCAAGTCAGACTGAAGTGAAGGTGACAGGTTATCCAGCGGCAGTGTGGTCAGCATCCAGGTACAGCCTCTTGAGAATAAAATATAGGTGGGACTCTGTCAGAGCATTTAGAGGTATAGCCTCTTCCCGGTGGCAGCCTCAGTGAAAAACAGCTTTGGCTGAAAGATGCAGTGGACAGGCTGACTGCAGCAGAAAGGATTACGCCCAAAGCTTGCATTAGTAAGCGAATGTTCCTGCAGTTCTTCTTTGGCTCTGCAATATTTCACATTTTAATAATCAGCCGGAAGACAGTCCTACCTCGAATTGATACATGGTCCAGGCTGTATGAACCTTCTGAGGGATATTTTTTTCATGAAACTCTTCGGCCTCTTTGGTCTGAAAAGGAACGTGCGCTGTTTTTTGCTGATGTTGGTTGTAATGACACCATTTGATATTGTCTGTTAGTTTGGTAGACAAGGGCTTTGTATATTCCAGATAAAAGTACCATTTTCCAGCAAACCCTTTTCCTTAGTATGTGAACCTTTATTCAAATACTTACAAATATTGTTCGGGAATTTAACACTTATCAACTTAAACATATTAAAGTTACTCTTCACTTTCTGTCTGCTTCTATGACAGGAAGAATGAGGGTTTATCGATATTTAACTTGTACATTCACACTTTTGTGAGGTGGGTGAGGGGTTCACTGGGTGTTTTTTCCTGTAGGTTATTGTTACATTTTCTTATTTTCTTCTTCTGCTGTTACTGATGTTACTTGTTGCTATAAGAATTTCAATGTTTATTTAGTAAAATGTGCTACATCAATTAAATTGACTTGCCTTTCTACACCAGAAAACATGCAATGCAAAATTGTCAATAGTGAGATAATCGGGTGATAATGCAACTAACTTTGTATAACTTAATTATTCAATGTATCACACAGGAATTTGTTTTTTTTTCTCCTGCCAGGATTGATTTCATACCTAAAATGTAAGAAAATAAAACAAATCCTTCCTCTGAAACGGTTGACGCTGCTACAGGAAATTAGAAATGATGGAGCATGGTTGTGTACAGATGTGAATGTGTCAGTGAGACTCTATTAATCCTCGGCGCAGAAGAGGGAAATAACTTTACAATTACATATTTAATGGTCAATGTACTTTGCATTGAAACTTAATCCAGATTGGTTGAGCAATGAAAAATCTAAGTAAATTAAAAATGTGCTTTTTTCTACTGTCACAGTGGCTCTGTGTTCTCCAGATACATTTAAACACGAGTAGTAGTTTCAGCACCTTTTTAGTAGGAAGTCGTGCTGGGAGACATTTCATTTTCACACTTTCACCTTTCAGTCTCTGCCCTGCTCTCAATCCGACGTCTAAAAAAATTGAATAAAATCTCTGTTCTGTTGCCGTCTTTAACTCTGTCCCCTGTGAGCTGTGAGAAATCACATTCATTGTTGGGAGGATATTCAACAAGCTGCACAATCAAAATCTCTCTCTCCCGCTGCAGTGTGACCTCGTCTTTTCATGCTTCTCTCTCTTTCGAGCTCTCTCTGAAGTACTCAGTTGTATTTGGTTCATCAGATTCTTGACATACTGGCTGCATTTCCTTGCAGTGTGGCATCACTCAGGGCTTGTTGGCTGTCAGCTGGGCGGCATGTCTGTCATGTGTGGTGCTCGGAAAGGCTGCTTCTTACTACGCGTTACTGTGGTTCACGTTACAGACGCATTGTTGTAACTGCATAATATGTATGTTTTCATACTCACCTTGCTGCAGTGATGTAGGTTACAGGTCAGAGGTGAAACGGGCTTGAAACCTTCAATCATAGCCTTTATTTAAGCTAAATTATGCAAAAAAACTGTGCTGAATTCCCTCACACTGTCAGCACTATGTTTATTTGAAATGCAACATTGGTGGTGATGCCTGTGCAGTGGTCAAAGAAGAAGCCTATTCAGATCCTTTAAGAAAAAGTAGCTGTACCAATGTGTAGAAATACTGCATTGCCAGTAAAAGTCCAGCATTCAGAATTTTACTTAAAGGTGCTGAAAGCGAAATTGGGAGCAAATCTACTACCTCTCAACATGATGACAGCTGAGTCGGCGGCTCTCAGCTAACAGTGCAAACAACAAATGTGCTGACAGAGCTAAACAAACAGTGTTTACCTGAGGGGGAACCGGAGGGTTGGTGCTACGTTTAAGCAACACAGCCGTCAGTCAGGACGGCGTTATCAGCTGTAACCACTGTATGCGAGCAGTGCAGTATGGCGGCCGTGAGTTAGAGAGTGAAGCAGGCTCATATGCACTAACATGCATTAAAAGCACACACGGCCGGCCCGGCTATGTCAACAAAGAACGAAAATGATCGGATAACAGCACACACAGACGGAGAGACTTAATTATCTGCACGGGAAGACATTATTCCACTATAACTTTACATGGCAAATATATGTTTGTTATTTTTATGTATTATATAATTGGATTAATAAATAAAAAGACATCTTGAAAACGTCTTTACAGAACTTCAAAATAATAAAATTCTGTTTAAATTACAAGTTGTTATACAGAACTGTGAAACCTACGATGCATAAATCCTGTGACCACCTCTCGGAAAAGCTTATTTAACATGGGAGTACTTTGACAAAATGTCCCTATTCATGAATCAAGAAGCAAGAAAAATATGAGGCCATGCTTTTTTTGGACAAGATTTTGGCACCCAGTAACAGATATTAGTAACATGTCCTATTTGTGAGAGTGGAATCCTTCATTCATCAGGCTTGTCAACATTCATTGGCATTAATGTTTCAATATTCAGAGCAACAGATGAAGAGACATATCCTGTTTAACACTCGACACAAGACGTAAATTCCTCTTCTATCTATCCAGGTATTAACCTGACCAAAACATGTTTCTGATGGCAGAATAGGCTTTTAATTTGAAACTTATGTACCAAAACAACAAGCAGCATTGATATGACAGCAACTGGAAAAAAATCTTCCTCGGAGGAAAAACAGTCACGTAAAATATGATCCACTGTCACCACACCGGTCAAAGATGTCATGATGTCCAGCACTAATGAATCGCTGTCTGGGCATCGATTGTCAACATGTTATTGCTTCTACAGAGGGTGAAATGGAATTCACATAGTGAATGAATAAATTCAGTTCAATTAATAAATAATTTAATTTGCCTGATACAAACAGAAAATATTTTAGAAATGGACTTTTTACATACAGTGTAGTTCCTTTTGTAAATACTTTGTGGGTCTTGACTTGCTCAGATAAAACCTTATTTTCAATTTACAATCCGACAGAGAGAGAAAGAACATTTTAAGTAACTTCAAAAACACACACAAAATGACACTGATCATCTCACAAGAAGATAAATTGTGTGTTATCTACATCAGTGGGTATCCATTATCTGATCATGCTCATCTTTTTTTTTGAATTCTAGTGTCACATTGATAAAAAGTCACCATCACTAATATAAATTAATAAATAAAGCAATTAGCTGTATAAATACAAAACATAAAAGGACAAAGTAATCCCTTCTTAACACCCAATAATTCAAAAATGTAAACTGAGACATTTGCAAGAAAAATGCTTTCACATGGAAAACAACACAATATCTGATACCCTCATCAGTGTGGGGAGAAAATCCAAACTTGAGACCTCTTGTATGTGTGTATCTCTTAGTAACGGCATAATGCTTAAACACTGGTGACCTGAATGCATCTCTGGATACACCAGGCTTCATTTACACACTGCAATTTAAAAGAAGCTCTGGAGTTACACACAAAATGTTACGCCTTACTTTTAACTGTGTGATCATTACTGGATAACAGTGAATAAAAGGACCTTTACAATATTTTACGATTTATCCATGCTTTATCAGACTTGGATCACTCTCAGCTGCGTTTCCATGTTTAACATTTTGAACAGAGAGTTCTCTACTATTTGACTGAACATTTCTTCACGTCATAGCAAATTATCATAATCTCTTCGTGTCAGCTGTGTTGTGATCTGCAGCTGCTGCACGCAGTAACAATTCATAAACTCTGAAGTCTGTATGTAGTAAATCTTCACCTGCTTTGAAATGGTCAAGGTTGCCATACCTTCCTTCCCTGTGGAGAAAATCCCTTCCGTTTATGGGGCATTATAAACCCTTGGCTGCTCCAGAATAGTAAACCTATATCATGGGCTTAAAACGAGCGTGAGCATAGCTCTCTCCCTGTAAATAATCTGTCCGCCCAATCCATGTATGCTGCCCTTAGCACTGTTTGGAACCATTATGTTCCACTTCAGGAGGTCCATAAAGAGGCTGGGCAGCAGTTTGAATGATCAGTCCTATAAGAAAATAAAATGGGTGAATGGTCGCTGGTGTGTGTGACACTCTTTCCTCCCCTCCCTCCTTCAGGGCCACAGAAAAAGTGTAAGTGAGGGAGCCAAAGAGTGCAGGGTCCAGAAGAGCTGTGGCTGTCCCTCCGTCTCAACATCTCAGTATCTAATTGAACACACTCGGAGACAGAGGGAGGGCCGTTGGTTGAAAGTTGGCTGAACGTTGCCTGGATGCCGGCACCCTTTCAGAGCCGGACGGAGGATTCGCCCTCTAGAGCAGGGAGCTGGGGCTTTCTGGGGGAGGCGGGGGGGTGTGCGTGGGGCTGTGACGCATGGGCAGTATGTCATAGTGGCTGGGGATGTGGCTGCTGCGAGGGAGGTCATAAGGGCTTTGGGAGAAGCCGGTGGCCATTCCATTGGGTCCCTGCAGGACACTCACTGTTGGCTCTGTGATAGTTTAGGGAAGAAGGAAGGAAACAAGTCGGAGAGGTAGGTAAGAAACACTGAGGCTGAAGAGAGTGGCAGGCACAGGATGAGGAACAAAGGAGAAAGGAGAGGTGCATGCAATCGAGAGGCGGCTCACATTTCCTCTTATCAAGGCTTACAAAGTCTGTACAGGCTCACAGCAGGGGACATGACCAGAGAGGCTATAAGCTGCAGGACCCTGCTGAGCTCCACACACCAGAGCAACAACACACTCACCAACATCATAGACATTCCTGCTTGCACTGCCCAGGAGGGTGGCAGTGCCTCCAAAGGGCACCTCACGGTGGGAGGGGGACTTCATCTCCACATAGCTGCTCTCTGTGTGCTTGCAAGCCAGCCCTGGTGGGTCTCTAATGGTCGCGTATGGATTCTCACTATTCAGGGAGCAGGAGCTGTTGCCGCACATGGAGCCCTTGATGTAATCTGCAGTAGCCGCGAGACAAGGACATATTCAGCATCAACAAAGATGGATGGATTGTCACTGACTTATTGCAGTGGTATTAATGCTGGGCTCTGAAATCCACGACTAAAATTTAAACAGACAGTCTGCGGCCTGGAGAATGGCAATGACTATCGTTGCCATTCTGAAGAAGTTGTACTTCTTTTGTCTCCGACAGGTGACTAATGGTGGTATATAGTAATCAGAGTACAAAGGGGAGAGAGTTGAAGGCTCATCTCATCCATAACAGTCTCATCAGTCTGATAAGAGGCCTCATTAGAGACAGCAGCAAAGCTCCTTCAGACCACTCTCCACACCCCTGGGTCCCCCACATTCACCACCGACTGCACAGTATTGGGCACTGAGCCATGGAGAGCAATAACCGTTGGAACAAAACCTCAGCCCACCATGATCTTGTCCAAAGCGCAGAGAGTTTTCACATAAATCATGGAGAATATAAGGATATGAGATTTGGGGTCAGAGAATATCTGAGGGGAATAGAAACCGAATGGGGAAATTGATACATGGGATGTTGAGCATAAAAATAATTTTGTAATATTGGTGCTGGTGAAGCTGAACAGGATTCCACAAGCAGTATGTCTGCCCACACACAAACGCACGCACGCACGCACACAGCTACTAACATTAATGACTTACCTTGTTTGGAGCCTCTCTGTGTTTCTCCCTGTTGAACATCTGTAGCAAATGTCAAAACATGATAGTCAAACACAACATTTGAATTCCTTCCCCTAATGTGAGAGGGTTGACAGGGAATACATCATTAAAAATGTTCAACGTAGTATGTCTTTATTTAGAAGAATACGAGAAACGTGAATTCGAGGAGGTACTGGATGTTTCACCTGCTTGCTATCACATTCCCCCAAGGCTTACAAGCTTATATAATCAAATGTGGTCATAACGGGATACTTGCCAAACAACAACACATCACGAAGAGAGGACAAGCCTGTTAAGGCTACATCAGTCCATTACTTAAGTACAGCAGGATGTACATCCAAGACTTTCTTTTTTTTTTTTTTTAAGAGGGACCTGTCATTATGATTGATCTGCTGTCTGCTTTTACACAAAATGAAAATGTGCAGATTGAGATATATTTTAAGTAAAGCATTACAAAAAAATGAATCATAGATTTTGGGGATTTTGCATGTCGCTCAGCAGTAACAAGCCTGAAATCAGTACAGAAGCCTATAGAATATATAATCTCAGTAACGCTGTATTTTAGCACCCACTATTCAGCATTTATGAATGCTGTATAAACATTTAAGAAATGTATACAATAGATACACAGATGGGCATCTTAAAGAGTTTATTAAATGTACAGTATTTGTCTCCTATGACAATTTTATATTATTACAACTGTTTTACTATATTGTCATTCATGATCTGTTTATACACCAGTCCTAATGCCCACAGAAGGAGGAGTTGTAGGTTTTGAAAAATACATTAATCATTATTTACATTTGCTCACAACTACATTGCAGAGTGTTATAAACCCTTTATGAAATGTCAATGTATTGTTTATAAGGTTAAAATATGGGTTTTTGAACCAGAAGTAATTTTTTTTGTGACACTTAATTTTCTATAATTCACAACCAAGGAGTGTAGTATCTGACCCAGTGCAAGCCATCACTGAGAAATGTGCCATTGGGGGAAGTGAAAGAGGATTAATGAGCCCACAGTGAACCCTATTCACCTCCTCGCCACAGCTTTCTCTGTCCCACCCGCATATCTTATCAAAATCAGAGCAAAGGTTATGTCTAACAAGAAACCACTGGTTCATCTTCATTCACAGCAGGGTGGCTGTGTCCTGGCTGGTGCCTATATGAGGTTTGTGCTAACGACACAAGGGTCTTTGCACTTGAAGTAAGGATTCTACAAAGTCCAAACGTTCAGGCTGTATGTGGAGCATTATAGTAAGTAAGAGAAACTGACCGAGGTCGTTGAGGTTGCAGTAAGCTCTCCATTCTGAGCCATTTCGACTTTTCAGAGTGCTTGACTGAAAGAAAGAGCACAGTTTTGGTGTTGCTTTTAAACTGTAGTGTGATTAAATTGTATGTTAATACACGTTGAGAGTGGCCATACTTTGAGGGTCAGAGTGCCATCCAGGTTGCTGGAGATGGTTGAGACAACGTTACACTGGGCCACAGTGTGGTAACTAGGGTTGGAGAAGCACTGGCCACTGCTGCCCTGGCTCTGGTTGACCTCAGCAGCGCTGGTCCTCATCGCAACAGTACTGCCACACTCTGAGGGTTTAAACAACAGGTGAGAGGTTTGAAAACCAAATAAGTATTTCTGCGTCAATATTTTTGTGTCTACCACCTTCAAAATACTGACAAATAAAGTCATCAGCACTCAGCCTGAAACGTGCCTGTTTCCTTTAGCTGCTGTGCATCATTTGCGAGTGCTGATGACTTAATTTGGCAATTTTGTGATTTTTGGGTGGGCACCCATCATACTCTAAAGACGATTGAGTTGAGCATGCCGGTACTTTTGTTTATACATGATTTCAAAATGTATTTTGCCAACAAAAACAAAAATCAAGATTAATCCTAAGTAAAGTCTAATTGATGGACAAATGTAGAGTTTGTAGATTTATAACAAATTTTCATAGTTGATTAATCTGCTGATTCCTTTGTTGATTAATCAATTATGAATAAAAAATTTAAATTTCGCAGACCCCAAAGCGAAGCTGGTTTTGACCAGCCAACACCCCAAACCCAAATACATTCAGATTACTATCACACAAGGCAAAGAAAAGGTAGCAAATCCTTTCATTTGAGAAGCTGGAACCATGAAATTATTGGTATTTTTGCTTGAGAAATAAAATTTCTCGCCTAATCGATTAATTGACTAATCATTGCAGCTCCACATTTGTCCATGGCAGTATGCAGCATCCGTCCATAGTGAGCAAATATTTTGAGTGGTCTGTAAAACATCTTACCAGACAGGGAATAGTCTGTGTTGGTGATGTGCATCGCCTGTGTGTAGGACACACTGGGCGGGATCTCATGGCCTTTGTCCCTCTGCCTCTGTCTGTACCACACAAACAGGCTGAGCATGGCCATGATGATGAGGAGTAGAAAGATGATGCCCATGACGGCCCCTGCCGACTGTCGCTCAGAGCCTCGCGCTGGGCTAATCTTGGTGTACGGGTTCAGCTCCTCCATCATCAGAGCTGCTACAGAGAAAACACAGATCGTGGGTTGTTTAAACACTCTGTACACATCAGCGTTTGAGTGGTAATACAGCGATGAGCCTCGATCATCTCGATCACCTCTCACCTTGATCGCAACGGATGCCTTTATATCCGGGGCTGCAGTAGCACGTTCCAGTCACATAGTCACAGGTAGCATTGTTCAGGCACTCACACAGCTGCTGGCAACCATATCCAAACGTACCAGCAGGACACTCTGCATGGGAGAGAGGTGCATTACTACATCCATCAAAATTAAAGCACTTAGAGTGGGAGCCAAAGTGTTTATAGAACACACACCTACACACACACACACACACACACACACACACACACACACACACGCACACACACACACACACACACAAAACCACAGAGTAATTTTGCTCAGTGCTAGAATGTGTTGGGCCCACTCAACTCTGCTCACAGCTCGTCCCAATGAAGCCTGTTCGGCAAGCACACAGGCCAGTGATGTGGTCACAGTCTGCGCCGTTTTGGCAGCGACAGACTTCCGAGCAGTCCCTGCCGTAGAACCCTGAAGGACAGCCTGGGACAGAGATGTATAAAATGTTGGGGTGGAGAAAACAAAGGGAGGGGACAACAATGTAAAGAGTCAAGGTCATATTGCAGGGAGCCACGGAAATCAATACTATTCAATGTGTCTGCAGCATACTCAATAAAGGACAATGTGAATTGAATGAAAGATTTCCTGCTTCAGCAGAAAGTCTGGTTAACATGTCAACGTAACTTGTAGGTGGAAATAAAGAACAAGACAACTGGAAATAGTATATACGTGAGAGAAAAAGGAAAACGGCAAAAACAAAAGACATTTCCATGCACAACAGCAGGAGCCACAAGACAAAGACCCTTAGGGTGATAGATAACGTAATTCAAATCAGTTGACTGATGTAGATGATATGCACTAGTTGTTGGTGAATGACTGGAATATATAATTAGCAAATGAATGAAGTGACCATTAGTGTTATTTTGATTTTGTCCCCCCCCTTTATAAAATGCAAATAAAAATCACCTAGTTGCCCAGTTGTCTCTAAAGAAATGATTCCCACTTGTCATCTACTGCAGTTCTGTTTGACTGCCAGTAGATGCCACTGTGTGTCTATTAACTGGATGGGAGAGACTCACGCTGTGTACAGTAGAGTCCGGTCCAGCCGGGGCTGCACCTGCACTCTCCTTCATAGGTGCTGCACTGGGCTCCGTTGTGACAGTTACACGAGTTGAGACAATCAGGGCCCCAGTGCCCAGAAGGACAGGCTGCAGACGCCAGAGAGACAGTCAAGCTCACGCTCACATACCCTCCCACACAAACTCTATGCCCCTATGCATACATGAAACACACAACACTGAATTTTGAGGAAATGCCTAAATATTTTCCACACATACAATATTGTCACTAGGCCATGAGTTAAAGTTAAGTGCAAAACTACTTTACTGTCTCCCATGGGAGAAATTTGTCTTGGAAGTTGCTGCATCAAGACCAGACGAGGAGACGACGAGCAGATGTGTCAGGTTAAATAACTTAAAAGCACTGGCAATGTAACATCCATCTGATGATACATTTTTTTTTTTTGCTTTAATTAGTTATTGCAATAAAAAATACACACATCAATTTTCCATGGCATGACAGCTTAAAGCTCTGCTAATGATCTTTGGCCTACAGCGCTGTAAATCAGAGAGCACAATGTATTGTAACAATCACTTAAGAAAGCTATCAGTTTTAAATCAGCTGGGGATGAGGGTACTTCTTGGAATATGTAGGTTCATGAAAATGATTAATGTGTATAAAGGTAATGTGAGGTATAAGGTTTGTGAGGGAAAAATTAGGAGTGGAGATGGACAATGGGAGGGAAAAAAATCTGAGAAAAAAAGGCAAACAAACACAGGATGGAGGAGAGAAGTCATACCATGAGAGCAATCCTCTCCTATCCATCCAGGGAAGCATTGGCAGGAGCCATCGATGGGGTTGCAGGTGCCGTTGTTGGTACAGAGGCAGATCTCAGCGCAGACCCTCCCATACCTGCCACTTGGGCAGACTGCAAAACACACAAACACAACAAAAACACTTCACAAAACAACCCTCATCTGCATATTATCACTTACATGCAAAGACTAGTAAAATGTATTAATATTATGACATCAAACTCATTCTGTGAAAGGTTGTGTAAACATATTCCTCTCGTGGATAATACTGTTTTATTTGAGTGGACATGAAGTGAAGTGATCTGTTTAAACAAAAGGAGGAGTCAGTCACTGCCTCCAGTGGCACAACTGCCCCATTTCTGCTCACTAGAGTGGGATGAGTGATGTGCCACAGAATTAAAATAGACCATGTACACAGACCACTGTATACATTTTTTATGAAATTAATATTTCAATGCTCTCTGGCACTCTTCAATAAAAGATCTCATTTCCAATGAAGCCTCCATTGTGTTTTCGTGTTGGCCCATGAGACAAATTGTACCAAGGTGTATCTAACCATCAGGATCAGGAAGCAGCAGCACCAGCAGATACATCAAAGGTCTTAAAAAAGAATAGCCCAGCGTAAGAAATATCAGATAAGGTGGCTGGCTGTGATAGAAATGGGTCTCACTCATTTTAATGTGGGGTGATTTTAATGAATACATTTCAACTGGCTTCCCCCTCTTCTTGAGAGCTCTTTCAAGCTCCTTCAAGCAGGTTGTCATTAGGCCATGAGGTTGGCTTCACTGCTGCTTCTGGGATTCAAGGCTCAACACACTGGGAGAGCTTCATTAGGCTGGGACTTTGTGTGCTGGACACAGGACGAGTGACGACGCAAGTTGCGCATGTTGTTGGCCACCTTCGTCCCTCGTGGCTTAACGCCTTCTCACCAGTAATTACAGTCCAGACAAATTAGGGCTCGCTTTTTTTTTTTTCTTCCTTCAGCTAACCTATTAAACTTTTATTTGTAAGACATTGCTCAAAGCCATGACAGAGAATTCAAAAGTTTCCCATTGCCTTTCTGTAATTTATATATACTGTAAAAAAAAAAATAGCGAATCATTAAAATCAAATCTACAGTACGTTTATATGTAGGTGTCATACTCAACACGTGATGGAGAGCAGATTCTCTACACTTTGAGGATACATTGACATGACACACACCCGTGGTCACATAAAGCATCACACGAGTCAATATTGGACAAATGGTTAACATATCTGCTTTTGAATAGATGATACTTTGAATTTAAATTAAACATTTAACATGTCAACCCAAATATTTAACATGTTGACATATTTACATTGTCTTAATCGCTTTATAAATTTCCTTTAAAATGTCTGAGCCTTTAATATATACAACAGGGCTAATGGCTACATCATCACGAAAAACACGTTTTTACAAGTAACACATTTATGATATTGTCAACACTCTTATATTTAAAATGTATATAAGATGTGCTAAAAGTACTCATGATTTCCAAAAGTGCAAAATCCTAATCAAACACATCTGAGGCTAAAATAATGAACTGGATGTTTTCTGTCAACAAGATCTACTTATGTGATTCAAACAACATTGCCGAGGCAAAACTCAGGAAAAAAAAAAGTTTGCCTGGTTGTCTTCCAATTACCCTTAACAAGAAGGCATCTCTTCTGCACATGTTTCTTTGGCTCTGTGTGTGCATAAAAAGCAATTTACATGCAGCTCTCTTTGCAGAATTAGGCAGAGGGACAGCAGCATTTACTTGTTTGTCTAAAGCAAAGTCGGTCTCAGCAATATTCAGGTTTCTGTTGAAGGTTGTTTTTTCCTTTTGGTTTGTAATGCACTGATAATAACCATTATTCAAAGTTTCAAGGCTAAGATGCCAGTGGGATAAACAGCAGGTCATCCATCCATTTGATCTTAAAAGAACACTGAGCACAGCAAGGGCCGAAGGAAACGTACATGTGTCCTCACACAATGCTGTGGCAGGAGGAATTTTTTGGACATATAAATGAACCCTTCATATTATTAGCTATTGAACGCACCAGCACATAATAACCTTTGATGTACCATCTTTACTATCCTACATTATTGTCTTACTTTTTGTTATAATCAATGTCATTCCCTGACCATTTTTTTTATTTCCTGTATACACCAAATGCCACACATTTTCAGATATAAAATGAACGTACCGTTTTCCAGTAACGACTAAAAGCTTAACCGTGAATGAATTTGGCAGGAAGTGAAACAGCAGGAAAAGGTCAAAGGGAGAGAAAAGGCTACTTGCCTTGGTTGCACAGAGAACCGGAGAAGCCCGACAGGCACTCACAGTGGCCTGTGACATGATGGCACGGCCCGGTGCTGTGCACACACTGCGGACACGACTGGCTGCAACGATGCCCGTAGAACCCCGGAGAGCAGACTGCAGCCGGCAGAGCGTGGCAGGAGAGCAGAGGGAATCAGTGGACAACATTGGATGGAACAAGGGGTATATAATAATGAAACAGGGCATGACAAGTGTGATCAAGGGAGTATAGAAACAAATCAAGGCCGGAAGAATTAAAGCAGAAAAGACGAGAAGAGACAGCAAAGGGTGGGGGAGAAAACAGAAAAGTCAGTCTTTATTGTAATCACTTCCATTTTATCCGCTGCCATAAATGGAGTAGTAAAGTAGTTAAGAGAATGGGGAAAGTCTGTTTTATGTTAAGTTTTGATCATCTATAAAACACACAACTGTGTGTTAATGCAGATTTTATTGAAAGAATGTAGACCATTAAGATATATTCAAAATGGGGTATGAAGGTAATTATATACTAACATTTTATACAAAAAGGATTAACTGAGCAACCATGATAAGAGACTGCAATTTATATGAAAAACATTTTCATTTCAGTTCAGGGAGAACGTTAAAAATTCATGTTATGTTTCTATTTTCATAGCCGGTGATTTGCTTAGATTCCTACTCCAATAATCGCCATTCTCAGAAGACACTTGGGTCCTTTTAGGAGTAGACAAACACAGCCTTGGTTTGCTGTTTTACAAGCATGCAATGTTGACTTTACCCCTTGGGTTCTGATTTGATTTAAAGCACCAGGTGTGATACGCCTTTATCATCTGGAGAAGCATGTAATCCTCCAATTAAAGTTTTCAACAGGAAAAACAGCAAAACTGCAGTTAGGAGGTTTTCACCTGATGAGAACATTATCTGTGTAAACATTGAATTCGGAGGAGTAATAACTTCCTCTCCCTCTCTCACACATACACAGAGCGAGGGAGAGAGAGAGAGAGGGAGAGAGATTGTTTTACATTCCACTCAAATTGAAGTTTACAGGTTTGTGACTGTGAATATCACCCCCAATCAGTGAGCTCATCACTTGAGAGAGTCCCCAGACAGACCCCATTCAGAAACCAGAGCTAGCACTCCCAGTGAGCACGCCCTCTGTTGAGCCTTGGACGAGGACTGTGAGTCTCCCACTGTGCATTGGTTGTTGAGGACAGGGCAGCGGGGTGAGGAGTGTGTGTGTGTGTGTGTGTGTGTGTGTGTGTGTTGCTGTAGGGGTAAAGACACTGTGATTAAGTGATAGCAGTGATGAAGGGTTTACACTCAAGCAGTTATGACCGACAACTAAGTGCTCCTCCTCAGCAGGCTCACCCTTCAACAATTCTGCAAAGAATCAAAGCAAGGTCAATACTGGGATGGAGTTTGTAATGGCGGCGTCCTAAAGCTCGTGCCATTATTACTTAAAAGGCTTGGATAAAGAGAGGTTGCTTGGGAAAAAAAGAGAAAGAGGCTCACTTCTTTTGCAGGATGTCCCCCTGTAGCCAGGTGCACACACACATGTACCGTCCTCTGGAGAGCAGGATCCTCCGTTCTGACAGGAACAGCTGACTGAACAGTTGGGTCCCCAGAAGCCTTGTGGGCACACGTTATCACAGTGGATTCCTGCGGGAACATTACACAAATATTCAGCGAATGCACACGAAGAAGGCTATAAGAAGAAATATTCTTAAGAGCCTGCCATCTGTAAAAACACATCATCAAAGAACAGCATTCACATGATCACAGTGAATCTGTGGAGGGCTATTCACCCAGCATGGATCCTCGCTTGATTTCAGTCCTGAATGAAGAAGCTGCTGTTTGGAGTGTGTTTCTTTTTCAGTTCAGCCCATCCTTTCAGACTCCGTTTCTCCTTTCCAAATGCATTTGATTTTTGATCTGACTGGGGCTCCCTGCCAGTGCACTGTGTTGATTAACAGGGTTGGGTCTCCAGAGAGGCCCAGCCTGTCTCCCATTCTCTTTCAGCAGAGCCGAGGTAGTGTACAGAGCCGAAGGGATGTACTCGGGCTACAAGAGCACAGTCTGGAAGTGTCACTGTGTGTTTGGCGCAGCTCCAACCAACAAAAGCAAAACACTGCCTCCATACAGTGCTCTCCCCGTGTACACAATTGCATTAGCACATCCGTCGAGGCAGCCTGTTTTCTCTCGGTCATAACCATGCCTTCAAAAAAGGGTAAATCACATGTACTGTACATACATGCAGGCTCATAAAATAAAATGTATTGCTGCAAACACCCAGGCACATATACACACATAGAGTCAGATATTCACGCACACGCACAAACTCTGCAACTTTTCAAGCACCAGCCCTTAGTTCGAAGTCTCATTTGAAATTTTCTTTGAGAGAGAATATCTGAGAATGGTATGGCCATTAAAGCAGCATTAGTGCAGTACCTTTGAATTAAACCTGGGCTAAACTCTAGGGACTGATGTTATACAGTAACCAGGGCGCCTTAGGGCTGAGACAGAGGAGAAAAGGAGAGGCAATGTTAGTGCTGATGAGGAGGGGGCATGGTAGCCGTGATTTAGTCTGAGGCCCGGCCATGGACATCAAAAGGAGGGCAAGGGCTTGTGTGCAAGTGTGTTTGAGGTTCTGCTAGGCCAGGCAGAAAAAAACTGCCTGCCTTTACTGTCAAAAAATGAATGCGGACAGAGCATCGCACTTTTCAGTCTAATGGTGACAAACAGAGGGGCTTTGGATGCCTAGCGAGGGAGAAGAAGAAAGACTGAGAGAAGCCAGAACTGAAGCGTCTTCAAAGGAGGCTTTGCGCTGAGAAGTGCCAGAGGTCCCACTATCCAATTTGTAGAGAGTGAGCAGAGAAAATCAAACCTCTCTCTCCCTCTTTAAGTCTCTCTCTCAGTGCATGTAAAGAAACACTCATATTGACTGCTCTATGACATGGAATCTCTTCACAAATAAAGGTGAAGCCCTATTTAACATGGACTAGCATGAAGCCCGTGCATCAAGTGTGCAATCACAGCGCTCTCTTACATCTTTGTATAGGCTGATGTCAGGCTTACGACAGTTCAGCAACAACTATGTGGGTCACAGACGACTTACTGGACACACTCCCAGAGTCAAGCTTCTTGACAGTTCACAAAAAAAAACACACAATAAAACAAAGAGCAAGTTGACAGCAAAGTAGGATGCCGTAACAACTCTGAGGCTAGCATGCTCAGTGATATGTCAGTGTTTACAGAAAAAAAAGATAGCTCCAGCCTTTCTGTAAATAGCCATTTTATTCCTTTCCTGAATCAGTTCTGTGACGAAACCGACATCTTCCTCTCTCTAGGTGCTCGTTCCTTTAGAGAGCCCCATTGTCAAGCCTCTACAATTCACATGCGTATGTATGTGTGTTTGTCCGGCCCAATGGGCTGCACGCTGCCCCCAGCCCTGCACCCCGGTGACTCAATTAAGGCTGACAGATGGTCCCAACTTGTGCAGGATTCAGAGCATGAGAGGCCTGTTTTGCCAGCTCTGTTCTTGCAGATAATAAAACCCACATTGTTTCCCAGAATAAATGCCCTAAGCTCAGGAGGCTGAATGGAGTGGGCTGCTGAGAGCTCACAGGCTTGACCTTTCCTGCTGAATCTATTCCCTCCCCGACTGCACCTCTCCACCCAGGCTCAGAAACCAGGTCCTCAGCTAGCCCCCTGTATTTGACATTCAGATGCGAGGCTTCATTGTTAAGCATAATGATCCTCACCCTTGCTGTGACATTCATACCTCTACCTCTTTCCTTGTAAACAAATGCTTGAAATGACAAGAAACCAAACAAAGAGCCTATGACAACTAAGAAATCCTCCATATGGCAGTTGGTTCAGTCAGATTGCACAACAACCTGGAACTTTAAATAATTAACAGAGCCAAAAATAGAAAATATCGGAGGCCATGTTTAAAACTCATGAGAGCATTCTGGGCCAATAATTTGATTCGCTCTACAAATATTTACCCAGTGAGTCACTTCACTTTGTCTATAACCAATAAGGGATGCAACATAAGCATGATTGCATACCAGCATCCAGTGTGTTAGCTAAGAGAATTAATTTAGAGCTCAATTCTCAACATTTCTCATTCTCATACCCTGCCGCTCAGTGGCAAAACAAATTGAACATTTAATTATCAAAACACTGGTGAGACATTCTGTAAACACACTGTAAAACACAACTCATGAGTGCCCCTGCTCTTTTGGTAAATAAGTATGTCTGACTAGGATCTCATGTCTTTGATTTGATGAGGAGGATATATACATACAGTTTGGATCTCAGAGGTTATGTCTGTCCCGACTCTGAATAGTTTTTTTCTAACAGCAATACTGACCTGTCCAGCCGGGGTAGCAGCGACAGTAGCCACTCACTGGATCACAACCATCAGCATGGCTACAGTCACAGCGCTCACGACACTCCAACCCATAGGTGCCGTCCTGACAACGATAAACACTCGCTGTTATATCTTTAAAACTCCACACGGTGGGACAATGAGACAGTCCAAGTTCAAGACCCGCAGGATTCTTTGCCGCTCAGTTAAAAGACAGACTTACAGGACAGGACTCGTCACAGTGCTCTCCCCTCCACCCAGGTGAACATGTACAGGTGCCATCCATAGGGTCACATGCTGCTCCATTGGCACATAAGCATGTCTGATTACAGCCCAGACCCCACGTACCGCTGGAACAGAGGATGGAGCAGTCCATACCCTGCCAGCCTGGGGTTAGAGAGAGCAGAGCCATATATAAACCAAGTATTGTGGATACAGCCACATTGTATTTCAGCCAAGCATGGCTCTAGGGATGTGTCTTGGTCAGTCCTACACTTTGGTCAACACTGAAATATCTCAACAACTACATGATGGATTATGATGACATTTTTTGTGGACAAAGACAGACAGGATGATCCCATGATTTTTCCTGTAGCACCTCGAGCAGGTCAACGTTTTCACTTATACAATGAAATAGCTCAACATGAGGGATTGGCACCAAATGTTTCCTAAACATGGCACCTACACATCTCTCACTGTAAAAATGTTCATTGAATGTTTTTGACAATGTTCCTCCAGTTTGTTTTTGTCATTCATTAAGAATTGCTTGTATGATATTTCATTCATTTAAACGAAAACTGAACATAGCAAGCAGAGAATAAATGAAAGGCAGCGGTCATCTGGTGGTTGTGTGAAAGACTGCACGATTACAAAAACAACCTACTTCGTAAAGTCTGTATGTGTGCATCCTTGTAAGATGTATCCGTGTAGCATATCTTATAAAGCTCAGGAGTTGCTTTGAACCTTTAAACATGAGTCAACCGTACTGTACCTTCCCTGCAGATGCAGGAGCCGTCGACTGGAGAGCAGGAAGCGTGATTATGGCAGGAGCAGGTGGACATGCAGCTTCGTCCGTAGAGACCAGGAGGACACACTGTAGCACAGTCCTCACCCTGATGTAGAAATAATGAAATAAAGTCATGAGACAAAGAATCAGCATGGCAATAAATGCTGACTCTGGCAGACCAAAAATAGGAATAATATAGTCTGAATAGATGCAGACAGAAAGGCAGGTAAGGTTCATTGCACTTCTCCAACGCTTACTGAACTGTTTATTTATAGTCATACTGGGTCTGTGCACAGTATGAGGAGCAAGGCAACTGTAAAACTCAATAGATTTATGATCGTAACTGAAGTTCAAGAGGGAGGACCCCCCCAGAGCTATCGCCTCCCAGCTTCCAATTATGCACTCTATATATTCTGACAGCACCTACTCCCAGCCACACTTCGCTTTTCTTAAACCACACTCCACCCTATCTCTACACTTCACTCTCCTTATCTCTCTCGCTTTAGGTTGGTCTCATTGGGGGGGTCTCCACTTTCATTAGAGGAGAGACTGGCAGGACACCAAAGCCAAAGGATCGAGACTCTTCCCGTCTCCAACCACGCTACAACCAAATCTGCAACTCTGTCCAACTAGCTTTAGTTCATTAATACAATCATTACTGTTCTAAATAAACTTGACACAAGGTTCTTGCTTGGTGAAATGCCTGTTGGAACAGGATGGATTTTGGAGACAAAAGTAGGGGGGGGGGGCATCAAGAGGGATTCAATTCCAGGGGTGAAGTGATGCAGGGCTCAAGGCCAGAGTTAAATCCTCCATGTTGTCCCTACATCCACACACAACTGGATGGACACAACTGACTGTTTGAGGATCTCGTCCTTGTCCCCTTATGAGTGACTCGTATTGGTTGGTTGTGGCGCCTGCACAAAAAGGGTTAGGATGAGAGAAGAATATTGTAAAGCGTCCTGTGCTGAAGCAGCTGGCGACACCATGTGCATCGGAGGAAGCACATATGTCTACACCTGCCTCAGGCCAACAGTGGGAGTTAACAGTACTAAGAATGCCAATTTGATTGAACAACAAATAAACCCGATGGTGAACTGGGTGGACAGGGTCACGGCAGGATGCCAGTGACTGCAACCGACTCACAATCTACTATTAATAAGCACACGAATGGGAGATCGGCAGCCATGCTGGCGCAGCCTTTAGGTCCCTTACCATTGCATTAGAGTGAACTAGCTGGCAAAGGACATGGTGTACTCCTCTGTCCTCTGCAGCCTGCTGTCATTAATTCCTCTGCTTTGAAGGCTGAGCACAGCCCACCTCCACTAGTCTTGTCCCTCCCTAAGCTGGAGATCACAGCCAGTCTATGGATTCCCACACCCTCCTTTGCACATGCTGCCTTGAGTGACAGGTGACACAATGATTTAGAGTTCCAATTAGTGGCCCAGAGGAGTCCTGAGTGGCGCTTGCTTCGCTCACCAGAGCACTGGGGGACTGCTGGCTGCTCACCGCTCTCATTATGATTTTGAACTCAGTTTAAACAGGAGGCAGGAGGAGATGTGCCAGTGGACGCCAGGGGCAGAACACACATCTTAAAACATCTCTCCTCCCTGTACACCACATGAAAGCGCCCGCCTGTGAATGAAATTTTTATCAAATCGGTTGCAATAACCTTTGTTCTGCTGAAAATGACAGCTTCAAGACTGCTAACAATAGCAGTTCAGTTACAGTTGTTAAGTGCGGAGAGAAGTTCGACCAGCCAGTGGGGGCTGGATGGGTTGGGGGGGTTCAGCCTGTCTTCAGAGCACAGGCAATTTACTGGTGGCTGGACTCATGGATAAAACGTCATGCAGCCACAAATGACCACATGGATTTTGCTGCATCCTTGGCTGCATCCGATTCCACTTGGTTTCACCCTCGTGGCGCAGAGACCAGCGGTTGGTCTGCTCTCTCATTAGTCGACTGATTCATATTCCTTCTGAGCCGCGAAGGATAGAAGTCTGTATGTGGAGAATCATTATTAATACACGGGCTGTCAGTCCATCGCACGAGAGCAGCAGGACCTTACATAACGACACAGCCAATGAAGGCTGCAACCAGACCTTAGCTGCTGAGAGGCAGCCAGGTCGTCCTTGGCCAAGGTACTAAATTCATACCTATTAGTATCTTAATGTAATGGGAGAGCATTTTTTTTCCAGAAAGCCTCTCGCTGACACAACATTGATCAGCCTGGTACCCATTGAGACTAGATGCAAATGGCACCACTAATTACCAATCAGTCTCACTCCTTAACAGTCCATCTAACTGCTGAATGAGCGACTGCAGTTTAAAATTCATGCAGCAAGACAGAAAATGAACCTCTGAACCTTTTGATGAGGCGGAAAAGCCCTGAGAGATAGAAAAAGGATTTGTTTTCACCACCTACAAAGGCAGACTGGAATCCATTTCTAATGCATTCATATTTCAGATTCAACAGTATCAACAGAATCTGTAGAAACTACATTGAGAAGAAATGTTACTGTGAGTACATGCTGCAGATTGCAAGTGAAAATGCCTGAATAGGTAACATGTAATCACTTTGTCCCAGTCAAAAAGAGAATGTCCAATTACGAGAGCTAAATCAAGCGTGCAGAAGCTCAGTCTGCTCCAATACTTTGCTTGGTTTGCCCCCTGATGGGACTCCAGAACAAAGATGCAGCAGGGAGGCTTAGTCCTATCAGCTGTCCCCTGAGGAAGTGACTTCACCAGCAATCACAGCCTTAACACCATCATCAACCACATCTTGAAAGCCCCACTGTGTGATAATGATCATGTACAATGCATGTAAAATGCATGTGATAATGTACAATTTAGATTTTATGCGATTCTTTGTAGAGAAACTCAGTTTTACTAATCGATTAGTCAACAAAGTTGAATATTTTTCAGGTCGAGGACGGCCCTAGAATGGACCTTTTCGTTCAAATGTAGCAGGACATTCTGAGCGGTGGCCATTGTTATATATACCGTTGCCATTGCGACCATTGTTGTGCTAATTCCAATATGAACTAAACCGACTTCTGGCAAGAGGCAAGCCTCACAGGGGTGAGGTTTTGCACTAATGATTAAAATGAGCAGTGGAGTTGTAAGAGTAAATGAGTAAAATCGTACAACTTAATGCTTCATCAACACACTCTCGTAACAGTTTAGGACAGCATATTGCTATCTCCAGATGTGAGACAGCTTTGTTCAGCTCATTTTCTGTAACCAGTGTAATATTAAATCATGGTGGGATAAGTAAGTTAACTGTTGGACAGTTGTCTAGTTAGCTAGCTTGCTAATGTTGCTGTGCTAAACACTGGTTAAAGAAATCGAGCCTCACGTACTGCCTCTCCGTAAAAAGGAGAAGCTATCTCACTCCCCAGAGTTGCGTCTGATGTCTTCTCGACGAGCTTCGACAACACTAGCAACTAACTATTCAAATGACCACACAAAATGTTCAATGTCCGTTCTATTTCTATTGATACACACTTAACAAGAGCCAAAATCAAAACTCTTACTTTCCAACAAAGCTGTAGCAGCTTTTGAATAAAATAACTAACACGTGTACTCTCCCCTTCTTTCCCTCCCTCCCTCCACAACACACACACACACACACACACACACACACACACACACACACACAAACAAACACAACAATCCTCCATACGAGGTGTGTCTGTTCCCATCTGACTGCCTCCCTTTCTATCCAGCTCTTGCCCTCTAGGTCTGTTTAATGGATCTGGCAGCACTTCCCAGCAGCCGCCAAAGAGAACAGGTGGAGCAAATTAAGACACAGTCTGCGGCCCCGCTCGGTAGCTCAATTCACCACAGTGGCCCGCTGTAAGACACAGGCAATTTCCACTGAAATGTAATGTTGGCAGAAATGTACCCTCTCGGTCTCTGTTGCTCTGTAACTTCAGATTACAAGACAAGAAATACAATGGGAAAACTGATTGAAGTTACCCAACTAATTTGACAGTTGTAAAAAGGGACAATGTGGCTGCACAAAAACTGCTAAAATGGAAACCTATGTAGGTCAAAGATTCGATTTTCTCCCAATGGGTCTAGGAATAAAGATCTTCGTTTGCTCTTTACTTGTCCCTCTGCTGCCACGTTAAGGTGTATCAAACGTATTTGTAAAATACACACAACTCATTATTAATGTCTGCAAAGGGCCGGACCAGAGAATTAATCATTTAGCAAGGAATTTCTTGTGGACATCCATACTAAGGGAATAATAAAATGTCTCACCTTACTTCTGCCTGCCTGTGTACAAAAAGCCTCTAAAGTAATACCGGGACCACTTCCAGAACATTACGACCACATGACGCAAAGATTTTACTACGGCCACAAATAACGTGAAATATAAATCAAAGCAATAACCTTCACCAATAAAGAGCTATTGTCACAATACTGATACCCTTACCCGGAACTCCTTTTATCAACATTATTCGATGAAACTACAGATTTTCACAACTATGACAAAGACTATAAGGAGCAAGGTTACAATAACAATTAACCTATGGCAGTTTTAGAAAAACATGAATGTAACCAACAACATAATTACACGTTGTCACATAGTAATTACAGCAGTGATAAAATGAACACAGAGCGCAAGGTGGCAACATGTTAAATCACTTTCAACACAAAGTAATTTGTTGACTTTGTCAGTCAGTTATTTCAATGCGTTTCCTATTTTTTCTATTTTCTCCTTTCTTAGCTCTTCTTCCTTCAGTGAATATTGTCTTTGTGTTAGTTTGTGTATAATTGTTCTCTTGAGGCGATTTAGAGTTAATGAGACCAAATAAATGTGAAATTAACATGAAACAGATAATAATAAAACATGTAATGTCTAAAATAACAATACAATATTACCATGATAGTGGCCACTTGTCTAAGTACAGTAAGGATATATGATGCTCACCATGTACCCAGGGGCACATATACAAGTGCCTTTGACAGGATGGCAGTCAGCTCCGTTGGTGCAGCTACAAGGCAGCATGCATCCCTCTCCATAGTATCCAGGAGGGCAGGTCTCATTACAGTAAAGCCCTGTCCATCCCACAGAGCAGGTGCATTTACCAGAAAGTGGGTGGCAGCTGCAACATAATGAGAAAGATAGATGGGAAAACAACAGGAAGAATGAGAAAAAGTTTCAGCTCAGAGAGTATCACCACTCCCTTCATGAGCAGGGTCAAAGTGTGAAGTCTGCGGCAACAGCAATTTATCTATCTATGAGTCTACGTGCCTGTTTCAGATAGATGAGGCGTCCCTTTTCTCTTTTCTCTGTAATGACTTCTACGGTCGGTGCCCGACTCCAGCCGGAATCAGAGCATTAACATTGCATTAACTATGAATGCTGCTGAGAAATTATGAATGAAGCAAAGGTCGCGATTAAAAGCTAACTGGATGACATGGCTAAGAGGTGTCCAGACTTCAGAATGAGTGCTGGCTTAAAGCTAAAATGGAGCAAAATTGAGTTGGAGAAGTCTTTATTCATAAGGGGCTACAGGGGGCTTCGCTTCAGGGCTTGGTCAGAGTGAAGATGTGTGCGGCCTTGCACTGATGTCTCACTTACCTCACCGTGTTGGTGGTATTACAGGGGCAGTACTTGTCGCAGATGAGGCCGTATAGGCCTGGAGGACAGAATCTCTCTTGGCAATTAGGGCCTTTAAATCCTGTTTCACACAGACAGGCTCCATTGATATGGTGACACTTGGCTCCATTCTGACACTCGCACATCTGGTTACACCGCGGACCGAAGGTGCCGACAGGACAGTCGTCCTGGCACCTGGAGGAGAAAAATAGTCTTTTAAATTGGTGCTCTAAAAAGTACATACAATTTTTCTTTTATCACAGAGTAACATGTAATTCAAATGTTAAAAAGGTTGAAGCACCTCTGTACACATGGCTCATTGAAAACATTAGCGCTGAACCAAGTAGTCAATCAATTATTGGTCCAACAGAAAATGAATAACATCGTCATACTCTGAGGATCTTTAGATTTTAAACTGTTGGTCTGACAAAATAAGTCATTAGTCTGACATCACCTTGGTCTCTGGACATGCATTTTTCACTATTTTTGGATATTCTTTACACTTAATCAATAAAAATAACTGCCGGATTATTCATCAGTGAGAATAAGCGATAGTTGCTGGCCTAAAAACATAGAACTAATAATTGTATTAAATATTAGTAATGGTGTTATTTCCCCTTTTATTATACGACAGCTGTTATTGCTGCACAATCGACTTCTTGCATTCAGTGAGCATCTGAAAATAGTGGCACATTTATTTAGGAATAAAACATTTCAGCTACTACAGTAATATATATATAAAAAAAATTATATTATAAATAGTTTCTTATATTTCATAATCTAAATAATGAACATTTAATTTGAAAACATTTTCATGAATCCAAGACTGACATCAAGCCTTAAAATCCGCCTCCTGCGGTCAGCAGCAGTCAGGACTGTTCTGCAATAGCTGGACAAGATTTACTAATCGTCATCAACCAGATGATGAGATTCTCCACATGAAGAACTGAAGTAGATCAGAAAATTGATTTTTATCATCATTTAAATATAAAGATTTAACTATACAATATTGGTTGAGTATCAATCTCAAGAGACTAACAAAGCTATTACAAATAGCTCAATTACATTACAAAAGGGGCAAGTTATGTTTCATGTTTAAATTACTCCGGCTTTAGTTTTATCAGGGGACAATGGTATTATTAAACTAGTCAGGAGAAGGTGGGGCTAACACATTCTCAGATTATTCCTGGCAGGTTAATTCACCTGCCACTGACAAAATGAATGAGGGCAATTTTGCAAAATAATAAAGGAAAGGAAAGGTCTTGTCGAGGAAGTGTTTCCATCCAGCAGACAATTGCTTTAGCTGAACTAATAAACCCAGCCTGCTCTGGGCTGCTCTGCCAGGCATGGGGAACAAAAAAGATCTGTGGATTTCAATGAGACCTTAATATAAGCCCATTACTTATAATTAATGAGCAGAATCCCAACAGCATGTAGCCCATGGTGAGATCAATGGGCAGGCTGGGAGTGGAGAAGGATGAAGGCTGAAGACATGAAACCTTGCTGGCCAGCATGAAGTATAAGATTAATTAAACATAAACACCCATATTAAAAGCTTCCAATCCACCTTCAAATGGACTAATGGGCATTTATAAACGCTTATTTCTCTTGAGCTTCAGATTACTCTAGCATTTTCATTCTCTTTTTAAAGAACAGCCAGGTTTGAGCCTCATCTGGACGTCAACAAAGAGAATAGGTCAATGAGTGACTATTTAATGTGCAACTGTCAGCATGAAACCATCCTTTGCATTAAATACTAATATCAATAAATCATGCCATTGTCTGGCCTATTTTCAAAGTAGGAGGACAAAAGTTTGCAGAGAGTACTTCACAAAAGGCTTGCGTGCATAATAATTCAGCAGTGTGTTTGCCAGAGGTGCCAGCTGTGTACCTGCGTCCACTAAAGCCAGCTGCGCACTGGCACTGCCCCGTGACGTGGTCGCACAGTCCACCATTACGACAGGAACAATCCTTGCTGCAGTTGATGCCGTACTTGCCAAGAGGGCACGGCTGGGCACAAACTGAACCCTTTGAAAAACAACCAGCAAAGAAACATGTGAGATACATTGCTCACTACTTCGACAGGACTGAAATACCTGTTGGAGGACAAAACTCTTACACTTTTGTTTTACTGATGTTTGAACATTTAGGCATATTGTTTATGTTGTCATCTTGGATCCTAGCATGTAACTTATATCCAAGAACATCACAGTTCTTTTTCTAAAACTATTTTCACACATTATCTTCAGAATGTTTAAATTTAAACTAAGCATTGTGGTGCCATGCTTATATATATATATATATATATATATATATATATATATATATCATGCATATCATGCATATATATATCAATCCAACCAGGAACTTTGCATTAAAACACTAGGCCACTGGAACGTCCCTAAAGAAATACTTTATATTGTTGACTGCCGTTGGCCATGTTCACTTGACATTACTATGTGAACTAACTGAGGTTTGAGAAAGCATGCACAACCTCCCCACCAGGCACTCCACTTCTTTGTCTCTTGCAGGGAGTAGAGAATCCCGTGTTCTCATTTATAATTGAACACAGCATATTGATTGTAAGGTCTATGTTCTCAGCATGTCAGTCTCTGGTGTAAAAACTACATTAGATATATAAACGTTTTTTATACACAAACGATAGCCAACCCTTTTATTCTCTCAGGCCTTTCTTCCTAATTGCCTTCGCACCTCTGCTCGTCTGACTTACCGTCCACCCGATGGGGCAGGAACAATCTCCAGTGATGTGGTGGCACGTTCCTCCATTCTGACAGGGGCAGCGCTGCTCACACTGAGGCCCGTGACTACCGGAGGGGCAGCGCTCTCCACAGCTGCTCCCACACAATTCAAGAGTCAAATGTCTCAGACACAATACTTGTGTTTGCCTGTAGTTCTTTGTATCAACAAAGAAAACTCAGACAAACAACAAACGGCACACCAACATATTTTTAGGGACACCAAAGAGAAAGTTGCAATGGAATAAATATGTTGCTGGTACTCACAAAGCCCCCGAGTATCCCGGAGCACAGATGCACTCTCCTGTCTCGTGGTTGCAGGTGGCACCATTGAGACACTGGCAGGGTAGTTGGCATGCCTTGCCATAGTAGCCGTACTCACAGGGCTCCTCACATCGCCATCCCTGATACCCATCAGTGCAGACACAGGCACCTGTGATGGGGTTACACTTAGCCCCATTTTGGCACTGGCACCGATTACTGCAATGAGGTCCCCAGTAGTCACTCTCACAGCCTGCAGGCACAGAGAGCAGTGGCATCAGACAGAGCAGAGTAACAACGCAAAAGAGGTATAAGCACCAGCATTTACCTTCGAGAACATCTGAAATCATACATTATCAAATAAATTCAAGAAATTCAAACATTTCTAATGAAGTACATGTAAAAGTTCATCATGTTTCTTCCCCCTCAATGAATTACCTAATATTGGGAAAACCTTTGGACAGTGCTCCATAAGCTTGATATTCCTGACATTCATATTCAGTTCATGCCTATATTATCAACTTTGAAGTATTTTATGTAAATGTTTTTTTTAGCTTAAAGGACCAGTCTTATGAAATTCTTATTCATCTTACTGTCAACAAATCCCACAAAAAGATCAAAACCAACAGTGAATTGAACCTATTAATATCGCCTGTGCAGCTAAAGCTCCATAGCTTATTCCTCTGTTCCATAGAGCTCAATTGTCATCAACAAAACATTAAAAACACATCAATGAGCCCCACCAATTCCACATACACCAGCGTGCTGCTGTAGACACTCACAAGCGGACCAACAAACACACTAAATTCTTTTTAGTTTGAGTATTTGCAAAAAGCTACAGTGACCAGCTGTTTAAGACGTGTGAAATCATTTATAACTTGAAAAAGAAAGAAAGCATATATTCATGACCCTATTTACATCCTCAGTCATAATAAATGGGCTTGGGGCTGAGAGACACAGACAAGGTACATAATTGAAAAATAGTATTAAAAGACGGACGTACAAATTGTTGTTTTTTGTCTTTTCAAGGGATTTTTTCACAGTAATAAAAAATATAGAATATCACCAGCCATATCTTTTAAATGTATTCACTGTATTCATTCCTGCTCAGGGTCATATGGCTGCAGGAGTGTATCCAGGCATGCCCTGAGCAAAAAGCAGCCAAACAGGCAGCTATCCATTACAGAGTCACTCACACACACACACACACACACACACATTCAGAGAAATGGGCACACAAACACAGGAAGAATATGTGAACTCCACGGAGAAAGGTCCTGAGCCGGTGTGTGTGTGACAACTGAGCTTCTCTGTCACACCTACACACTCATCTGGTATCTGCGAAACCTCTGTAAGACAATTATAAAACCAAAATCCAAAACCAAAGAAATCTAACTGAACATTAAGCGCTCTCCTCATCATCCAGGTGGACCTCTTTAGGATTTTAGACAGCTCATTTAGATGCTCTCCTGTATTAACCAGCAAACCGTAGCTAACTTTACCATTCAGTGCTCGTAATTAGCATATAATGGGTTTAGCTTGTTTGCTTTAAATAGCTGTCTAGTTATTGATGAGAGTAGGGCTGCAACGTTTGTTTTTATTGTCCCTTATGTTGCGCATTCTTTTCTTGATTCATTTATTAATCATTTTGTAATTAAAAAGGCTTAAAATATTGACAAATTCCAAATCCAAAGATATTTAGTTTACTGTTAAATGAGGCTCAGAAACACAGCAAGTTTTCACATTTAAAAGGCTAGAAGCATCACTGCTTAAAAATGTATTTCAACAATTAATTACGAGAATTATTTCATTAATACATGTATCTACTAATCATTTCCACTCAGACTCAAGCATATGATAACATCCAGGCATAACAATATGTTAGAGAGGCCCAAAAGCTTTGTAGAGTTCATTGATTTCAGCACAAGAAGCCTTGTTGACATTATACATTGAGGCATTAGATTTGGTGGTAAAATCAAAAATATTTATTCAGGCTTAATATATTTTAACTGAAATGGTACTTCCCTTAAAACTCTGCATTACCAACAAGTAATGTGAAATGATCAAACAGGTGCAAAATATATAGTTCTGTCACTCAGAAATTGGTGAAGGCATATAATGTGACTCTGATATAGAGTATAGAGTATATGTGATGTTGACATAACACAAGTATCATAGTGAAAGGCATTAACAGCAGCCTGAAATTATTCTGCAAAAAGCGAAGCAAATGTGCAAGCTGTTCACACCTCTGAGTCTGAGAGGGAAGAGAAAAAGAGGATGCAAAAGATTAAGAACGAGGAACGAGGGATTTTTAAATGGAACAGTTTGTTACTTGTATGTCTTTTAACACCTTTTTCAGTTGCAACTTCAGCAATCAGCTGTCAAAATGGTGCCGTGGAAGAACAAAGCTTAAAGTTCAGGAGGCTGTTGCTCTGGTAACAAATGCTCACTTTTCAAACTTTGCAAAATATACTGTAGTGTAAACTGTAATAACTGTTTTACTTCTTGTAGTAATAGTGCAGAAAGCTTCAATTTGATGGGAAAACACCATGTTCGTACTCTGTGTAGACTGCGAATACAAAATCCCTAGACGTGTCATTCCTCAGTAACAATGAAGAGGAAAATTTGTCTTCCCAGCTGTAATGTAATACTGGCACTCAAGAAAATTGGTTAAGTTATACAACCTAGGTGCTTTGCATGGGCGAATGTAAATAGCTACATTACTAAGTGGTACCTAAGGGAACGGTGTAAGACAAGCAATTCCAACATTCATCAAGGAATGTCTCCATATATAAAAAAAAACTCAATAAGCCCCATAAACTGCTAACAAATAGCTAATCTTCAAGGGTTAAATGAACAAGCGGCTTTTATGTGAAGACCAATCGGCACAGAGCTGGGTAGTGGGCAGTCTTCACTCTCACCAGGGTAATTGTTCTTTTGAGGATCTAGTGCTGATTTAAGTGATTGGTATGGCCTCATGCCTCTCCAGCAGCAGCTGTATTGCCTCACATAAAAGCCCAGCTTGAGATCCAGGCCAGCGCAGCAGCCAGGACGGTGAATATTCCACTATCGATTCTCACATCATCACAGAATGTAAAGACACTACTCCCCCTCTTTGTATGCTCGCTTTGCCAGAGCTGTGATCAGCCAGACTGAGAGCTTAATGAACCCTGTTACATGGTCGGCACTGAATGTTGTTTTTCCAGGTACACAGCAGGAAGATGATCAGCTTTTCCCTGATACAGACAGGTCTGCCCTGAAGGGGGTCCTGAAACTAGTGCTAGTGCAGTATTACTTCTGCGGTCGGACAGACTAGGGGCCACATTACAGAGCTCACATTGATTTGATATAATCTGCTCCTGGCCTCCAGTCTGGCATGAATGAGCTCCCTGAAGGTTGAGCTGCTGCCACGCAAACGACCCTTACACATTAAATCTGAGGTGTATGCGGGCGGCCGGGGTAATGGATGAGCAGTTTAGCTACAACTTGGTTTAGCAATCTATAAGCACTCATCAGAGCTCCCTCAGCTCAACAGTGCTCCCTCAGCACAGTACAAAAACAGGCAGTGCCTAAATAACTGATGGTATCATCACATCTGGTTTCAGCTCCAAATCTTGATAAATTAATCAAGAGTGCATTTTATACTCCTACATGTACAACTCAAAATATCATGTCAGTAAAAAATACCCAGAGCGGCGGAGCAAAACTGAAATAAACCTAAATCTATCCGGCGCTTAATTTGCAGACTTTTCTGGTGCTTAGGAGCTCAACAAATGTTACCATTTGAAGTTTTAAACCTTCTTTAGCTTGCAGTTAGAGGCCTCAGCACATTGAGAGCAAAGCCCATTATCTCGCTGTCTTTCTCCTACACAGAGGTTCTCAAACTTCACCCAGTAGTCTCTCACTTCCCGGCTCTGACAGCATTTAACTGTGATTAAGGAGTCAGAGTTCATGATGAGCTGCGGGCAAAGACAGGGAGAAACATCAGAAAAAAGCAGCATGTTGCATGAAGGCTTCAGCTTCTAGAGTACGGCTAAATTGTGTGAGGTGATGAGGACCCCCTGTGGGTTGTGGTGTGTAGGCAGTGAATCCCACACAAGTCTGAAACTAGAGAGGCTGCCCATTAACCAGCCTAGCCTGGGTCAGTGAACCTAAGCAGAGGACACATACAGTCTGACCCGACTCTCAGAGCTCACAATGTATAACCGTTGGAATGTGGATAACCTCACGCGCAGGGAAAGGTCCAATCCCAAGGTGCTGGGTATAATCCCCTTGACTGGAACAAAACAGATCACATTGAAGGGTAGCGGCAGATAGTAAACTTCTGAAGGTGATGTCCAAAGAATGGGCTGAGAGAGCCATCGTGGTGGTGCTGCACTTTGAAGTGTGCTCTGAGTCTGCATGATCAGGGGCTGCCTGCAACAGGATTAAAACCAAACAGCTTTCTGCAGCTCACTGCATCCAGAAGTTTTCATGAACTTGGCCTCTTCCTGCAAAATGTTTGTCCCCGTTCTCTACGAGGGGGAGCCTGTGCCACAGAAAGCCTCTCAAAGCTAAGTTCAAAATGAGGGCCTGATTCAAGCTCTTTAAATACAGAATATATGTCCCCAAGGCACCAGAGTTTTAGACTTCATTTATTCAGCTGGACGCAAGTCAAACGCAAACTTCAATGTGAATCAAAACTGGAAACGTTGGCCACTTAAGGTGGTAGGTGCAGACAGTCGCTTGCTGCTTTGCCAACTTTAACAAGGAAAACTACATTATTGTTATTGGAATATTTGGCACACGGCCCGACTTCACTCCTCACTGCCCGAGTCACTCACTGTCACATCACTATTATTAACACACACTGTTGACACTTGGGGAATAACTCAAATCATACAAGACATTAGGAGGCAAAATGCTCTGGCTCCTGAGAGCAGTGTTACTCCTCGCTTACTCATTAGCAGAGCTTGTGGCAAGGCAAAGTGTGACTCATTGTGAATCTCCTGCATTCTACCTCACGAGAAACGTGCACCTCTGGGTTTCATATTGTCTGATTCACGCTTTGTACCACCGAGCTTTGGTCCTTTTCTTTTTTTTGTCCCCCTCGACAGATCTGAATTTTCAAATCACACTTCATGACCAGAATTAATATGGGCAAGTCACTATTTCAAAATGTGTTAAAGGAACAATGAAACAATTCTGCCTTATAATTTAGCTGACACAAGAATGTGTAATATTCTGTTCTTTAGTTAATATGAGCCATTTTTA